CTCTCTCTCTCTCTCTCTCTCTCTCTCTCTCTCTCTCTCACACACACACTCTCCCACACTCTCACACACTCTCTCACTCTCTTTTTCCCTCCCCCCCTCTCCCCAGGCGACGTGAACGCTGCCCAGAGCACCCTCCAGCACTGCCTGGACCAGGATGCCACCTTCTCTGACGCCCACATCCTGATGGCACAGATCCACCTCAGTCAGAACAACTTCAAACTGGCCAATCAGTCGCTGGAGGTCGGACTCAGCTACAACTTCCAGGTACAGTAGTCAGCGGCTTGGACAGTTATTGTGATGTAGAAAATGAGTGCCTATTGTCGTGGAGATAAATGGTTGTCTCAGACTGGTTGATGTCATGGGAAATGTGGTAATTTGAAAAATCGCCACCCATTGCCGAGGAGAAAAGTAGTTGTCTCAGAGAGATCGAATTTTTTTTTTTACAATGTATTTAAAAAATAGAAAAAACAACCACCCAGTGTTAAGGAGGTAAATGTTTGTCTTAGACAGGTCAGTGTTTTGGACAATGTCATTGAAAATATAGAAAAATCACCACCCAGTCTTGGCCAGATCAACTTCTAACTGGTCGACCAGTTGCTGGAGATGGGACTCAGCTACAATTTTCAAGTACAGTTGGAAGTGTCCGAGGCAGCCAACCAATGTCGAAGAGAAAAGTGGGTGTCTTAGTGGATCATGTTGTGATAATATCATGAATGGCCACCCATTGCGGGGAAGGAAAGGTGGGATTTTTTTTTTTTACAGAGTCATTTAAATATTAAAAAACGGTCACCCTTTGTTGTTTAGTTAGTTTAGTATGAGTTTTACGACGCTCACAACTGCATAAGGTCATATGAGCCCACGAAACATGAGTTGGTTGCATTCACAACAGTTCTCTGTACGGCTTGATTCTGGTCAATATTTCGTTTTAAAATGCTAAAAATTCGTGGTTGAAAAATTCCTTTGTTTAAAATAACATAAAAAATTTTAACAACTCATTTTTTAGAAGAAAAATATTGGTTGTAGACGGGTGAATGTCTTGGGCATTGTCTTTAAAAGACAGAAAAAAGACCACCCAATGTCAAGGAGAAAAGTGGTTGTCTTAGACAGGTGGACGTGTTGAACCCATTGCTGAGGAGATAAGTCGGTGGTTGTATCACAGAGATGGACGTTGTCTTGGACAGTGTCAGAATGATGTAGAAAGTAAGTGGGGGAGTGGTCATTTGTACAGGTGATTGTCTTGGACATATAGTCGTTAGAGTAGGCTAGACTGTACATAGTTCTTTCTCTTCTGCTTTCGCTCTCTTGGCGACAACCTCATGCAGAAATGTTGACTTTCTTTTACCTGTTCTGTACCAGCGTCTCTGGTGTTGCGATTAAGCACTTTGCTGTCGCACTCAGGAGACCCGAGTTGATTCCAGAGTGGGGGAGAATTTTTGTCAAGCTTCTTGATCTTTCTACTTGGATGTTGTTTCCCTCTCAGCCCTGGTTGGCTCTGACTGGCAAGATGAAAGCCCGCCTCCTAAATTATTTATATTGGTTTGATAGGGGCGTAAAAGTCGCGTACTTAAAATAATGGTCTTGTTTTGCCTTGTTTTTTCTTGTCTTATTCTAGCTTGTCATATCTTACAACTTTGTCTGATCTTGTCTCCAATCTTGTTTCCTAGCATTCTTATTTGTCCTAGTTTATTTTCTCTTGTCTTTTCTCCGTTCACGTTGTGTCTCATCTTCTCTTATGTCATCCTATCTTCTCTGAACCTATCTTATCCTGATCATGTGTGGGTAGTTGGTGGATGCTCTGGTGTGGATTGCTCCTTCTTTCCTATCAAACATCTATCGTTCTGATCTCTCCTCCTCCTTTTTTGTGTTTGTTACTCTCTTGTAACACCTCTAATCTTCGGCACTTATATGACCTTATTGTGTTTCAAGTTCTGTAAAACTCTTGCTAAAACTAAAACTGTATCCTGACCATGTGACAGGTGCGTGACCACCCCCTGTACCACCTGATCCTGGCTCGAATCCTCAAGAAACAAGGGGACTCGGCCGAGGCGGTCAAGACGCTACAGATGGCCATGGCTCTGCCCGGGGTCAAGAAGATAGGTTGGTGGAATGATGATTATACTGACTTGTTTGTTGCTTGGAATTTTTTTTTTTTTTGGGGGGGGGGAGGGGGGTTGGTTTTGTTTTTGTTTGTTTGTTTGTTTTTGTTTTTTGTGGGGGGGGGGAGGGGAGGGGTGGAATTTGTCTACGTTTTAGGGCTGTCTTGATTTTGTAGCTCACTCTGGCATCAGCAGTCACATAGGGTTCGTTCTGGTGATGTGAGAGATTGGAGAATGTTGCCTGAATAATATATATCCTTTTCATAGGACCACTGTTCGACCTATTAAAAACTGAAAGCTTTAAACATCTCCTTTGCTTCCACCCTTAGCCCCACCCATCCGTGTTGTAAACCCTGTCAACCAATGTCATCCCTCACTGCAATGTAACAACGATTTTAGCATTTATTTTCTCTGTTAGCCATACAATCAGGGCGGCAGGTATTGGTCAAACTAATTTCACACCCCCGGCCTATGGCTACTCATGAAAGTTTCCGTACTGGAGTGCCACTCAAGCACTTTCACAGGCACTGGTGAGATTTCATACCCACACCACCCTGTCCATCTTCTCACATGGATGGGGTTACATCTACCCCCAAGTCGCACCCCTACTCCCCTTCCTGGCCCGGCAGCATAGCGTAAAGGTTACAGCCGATGGAACCAAATTTGTTAGCTTTTGTTTCAAATCAGGGTTGAGTTGGCAAAGCATTTTCTCAGTCGGTCTTAGACAGGTGAAAACCATGCAAAGGGAAGGAGTTTTTCTTTCTGTTTCCGCATTAGACAGGTTTCTGTTTTATAGAGGTAATTATAGAAGAATTTATCAAGGGGGGAGCGGGGAGATTCTGTTAAGGCAGGTTTCCGTCTTACATTGGTTTCCATTGAGGCCGGTTCCACATTTTTATATCTTTCCCTGTAGGCTCAAGGTCTGAGTCTGGGAAGAAGTCGCGCGTGGAACAGATCAGCGTCAACGACAGAGTGTCTGTCTTCCTGGAGCTGGCTGAGGCACACAGACAGCAGAATGAACAGGTGGGTCAGACAGACAGACAGACAGACAGACAGACAGACATCGGAATGAACAGGTGGGTCAGAGAGACAGACAGACATTAGACTGAGCAGGTGGGTCAGACAGACAGACAGACAGACAGACAGACAGACAGACAGACATCAGAATAAACTGGTGGGTAAGACAGACAGACAGACAGTCAGACAGACAGACAGACAGACAGATAGACAGACAGACAGACAGACAGACAGACAGCAGAATGAACAGACAGACAGACAGACAGACAGACAGACAGACAGACAGACAGACAGACAGACAGACAGACAGACAGACAGACAGACAGACAGACATGAGAATGAACAGATATGTCAGATAGATAGACAGACAGACAGACAGACAGAAAAACAGACAGACAGACAGACAGAGACAGATATAGCAGAGTGAACAGGTGGGTCTCTTAGACAGACACACAGACAGATGGACAGGCAGTGGGTGCTGTGTAAGTGATCTTTATCATTATTTTTTTTATTACAATTTCTGAAATCCCACCTCCTCTGTTCTTCCTTCTAATATGAGGACGCTAAAGATATGCATGTTGATCTGAATTGTTTTGACTGTGGTGCAAAACGTTTACAATAACAATTTCTGAAATCCCATCTCTTCTCAACTTTCTTCTAGCCTGAAGACGCTTTAGTCATGCAGGGTGATCGAAATTGTATCCCCCTCAAATAGACCCACCTCTTCGTGGTGGGGGGGATTAGTACTCTTCGAATAGGAAAAGAAAAAGAGGAAGCTAACGGGTCAAGGGGTGACCCCGAAAAGAGACATATTACTTTACTATGTTTCTTACTCTTTCTATTTATTGTCCTTATTGTTTTATTTTATTACATTTATTAACTTCTCTTTTCTCCTCTCTCCATCGACAACCTTTCTTTGACCTGGAGTTGGGACGGGTATTGGTGGGGTGGAAAGCAGAGGTTCATTGTCAGCACTGTACTGGATGTGACTTTACGTAGAGAATACCCAGCTACATACATGTATTAACTCACTTGCGACTGGGCCCTTTCACCAGCCACAAGCATTGAAGACTGGTGTTTTGGGGGGTATTTCAATAAATCACCACAACTCACAGAATTACCCTATTGTAATCATTTTTTGACACAGTAAAGTAACATTCAAGCTTAATCTAATACAAAAAACTAAAGTTGTCTAAGTCTAATACTTTAATTTGTATGATTTTTTAAAAATTGGCATGAATTTGATTTTCGAAAAATTTCCAGAGACGTGACAAGTAGAATGAAATTCACTGCAACAACAAAAATAAAAGTTCAAAGTGTTCTGGTTTGATTTGTATACATGTGCAAGTGTTTGGTGAAAATATAAAAGCTGGTCTGTGCATTGATTCAGACCCATACACTGAATTACATGAGACAGATGTACGGCACGATGTTGTGATTTCGTTGCGCGAAAAACAACACCGGTACTAGTGCTAGATCTAGCCCTAGAACTACGACTCGGGCCGTGTTCGGGTACATATCCAGGATCCTAACTATTAGACACATCATATTCTGAGACACTAGAACTAGTAAAACGCACAGAAGTATAGAAAACGGCGAAATTATGTGATTCTTGTTCATGCGACTTCTTCGACCGTTACTACGACGCGACTGTCGGATTACTATGAGCTGTATAGAAAAAAACAAAGCGCGAGTTCCGGTCTGTTCAACCCCAGTTGGGGTCACTGTCTTTCACCTTCAATAACTTAAAAACTACCGGCCCCAGAGATACGAAACGAAGTCTAAGTAGCTCAGGCTTGGCCAAACAAGGGTACGAGGCGGGTCTCGCGATCCGTGCGTGATTTGTAGAGCGAAAAAAAAATTCCAAAGTTGGTCACGCAGGGCTTGTGAGACCCGACGCGAGCGTCATGGCGGGGGTCACGCAACTGTTGTGTGACCCGTCTGAAGTGAGTTAAGCATGCACTTATCGGAGAGCCCTATGACTGCAGAGAAGGTGCAGAGACCATTTGCGTCTTGCTTGTTGACAACATTTACCCTCTGGGATCTGCCATGCCTTCCCCCTGCCCCCATCTCTCGGATGAGAGGACTTGGTTGCTCGGGTAGGAGGGGGGAAATCTAGCTTCCAATTGGTATTATTATTACTATTCGTATTATTATTATTATATTATAATTTTTGTATTTCAGCAACACACAGCAACTATGCTCTTAATAGCGTCTTTCTCTTCTTTATCTCCTCAAACAACTTCTCAATATAATACAACAGACACCAACATACCCATTCATTTTTCTTACAATCTCTCTGTGATGCAGTTGGGTTTTTGTTTGTGGCATTGCACCTACAGCCACTGCTTTATCTCCTACCCCAGGATGGAAGGAAAATCACAGAACCACCAGTTTAAAAAGACTGGATCGCTAACAACAACATCGAAATTGTATCGGTTGGGGTGGAAAACATTTACAGTATCATTTCTTTTCAAATCCAATTTCTCCTCTCCTCTCCTCTCCATCTAGCACGAGGCCGCTAAAGTTATGCAGGACGCCATCAATGAGTTCCAAGGAACTCCAGAGGAAGTTCGAATCCTCATTGCCAACGCCGAACTGTCGCTGGCCCGGGGAGACATTGAGATGGCTCTGGGCATGCTCCGAAACATCACGGCAGATCAGCCCTACTTTGTGGAGGCTCGGGAGAAGATGGCCGACATTTATCTGAACCACCGAAAGGATAAGAGGCTGTATGCTAGCTGTTACAGGTACTGATGGTGTATTTTAATTAGAGCATAATACATAAATACAGTCAAACCTGTCATGATTATATAGGGTCGCTTTTAACACATTACACCCTAGGGGTCTGGACGGGAAGTCCATTGTTAGATCCTAAGCAAGGGGAAAGAACCCACCTCCCGTGAATACAAGCCTTTAAAAAACATATTTTAAAAATACTAAACAAATTCCAAAAATCCTGAAAAAAATAAAAGTTAAAAAGAAAACTGAATGGAGTTTCAGAAAAATATAACTTTAAGTATGCGCAAACTGTTGGAAATGTTCTAACTTTGGTTCAATCGGGGTGTCCGACCCGTCTCTCTCACTCTCAGCCTCGTGGTCGGGCCCTAGATCTAAATTCTAGATTTTCTACGTCTGATCAATCTGAATCGCCCCAAATTCTGAGCCATCTGATTTGTCATATGCTTGTTTTTGCTCAAATCCATCATTATTTCCGTTTTCGAACTCAATTGTGTCGCTTTTCAACAAGTCGAGACACTTTCGAAGTGTCGATATCACGATCGCTCTTCGATCAGCTCTTATACTAAAACTACTGGCCTGAAAAATTTTGTTTCGGTATCAAACAAAAGAAGAAATTTTTTGCAATAACTATGCAAATCAAAATCTCAGCCCCATCTCGTCAAGGCGAGACTTCGTTTCTAAAGACGCCCAGATGGCGCGGGCAGTTCCAGGTGAGTCAGGGTGGAGCGCATAAGGGAATTCGTGGGCGGTCCCGGGCGAGTTAGGGTGTAATGTTTTAAGCACAAGGGGGCTATCCCGAAAAATGCTGTTTTGAGAAAATCGAAAGTAAAGTTTTTGGATCCTTATTCAGTTTCTTTAAAAGACAAGGAGAGTTTTCTCTACAACCAAACAACTGTACACACCAATGAAACCAAACTTCTCCTATAGGTAGGGCAATGCCCACTTTTGGTGTAGGTCAAGATTTCTGGAAACCCCCCAAATCTGGGTTAGCCTGCTTGTCCTTAAAAGCGACCATTATATGTATGGTTATAAAATGTGCATCATGACATGTACTTACTTTTTACTTTACTTTTTCATCCTCTGTTTCCGTTAAGCGTCGAGGGGAGATGCAGTTTACTATGGTAGGCCAGCTCCGCAGCTCTTTCAGTTGTGATGTTATGTTTTCTTAGAGTTTCCTTGACACCCTCGATCCACCTTTTGCGTGGCCTTCCTCTTCCTTTATAGTCTGAGTGCTTGGTGTTGTAAGCTCTCGAGGCTGGCTGGTCAGGTGACATGCGTAACAGGTGGCCAAACCATTTTATCCTCTGTCTTTCTATGTAATGCAGGCAGGACTCGGTGCCGATAGCTGTTCTTTCATCTTCATTTCTCTTCCTGTCTTGTCTTGTGATGTTAAAGGTTTTGCGGAGACTTTTCATTTCGCATGCAGTGATTTTGCTTTCATGGGTTTTGCTTAAGGTCCAGGTCTGGCACTGATAACATAATGTTGGTATGAATATCATGACATGTATGATTATGAAATATGTATCATTTGATTATATGTATGATTTTTATACATATTTTGTCCTTCAGAGAGCTAAATGATAAACACCCCAGCACTCACACCTGTCTGCTGCTAGGAGATGCCTACATGAGTGTTCAGGAGGTGGGTCTGTGTATGAGTGTATGTGTAGGTGTATGTGTGGGTCTGTGTGTATGGGTGAGAGAGTGTGTGTGTGTGTATGTGTTTGTTTAAGTGCATGGGGTGGTGTATGTGTATGGGGAGGGATGTTTGTGTGTGTGGGTGGGTGTGGGTGTATGTGTGTGTGTGTGTGTGTGTGTGTGTGAGTGTGTGTGTATATGTGTGTGTTTAAGGGGTGGGGTGGTGTATGTGTGTGGGGAGGGGTGTTTGTGTGTGTGTCTGTGTGTGTGTGTGTGTGTATGTGTGTGTGTGTTTGTTTGTTTCCTGTGTGCATGCTGGAAGCAGATTTTTTTCCTCTTTTCTTTTCCTCCTTTGTATTTTTTTTAGTATTCTGTTCTTCAAACGTGTTATTTTACTCATTTTCTTTTTCGCCATGTAAAGAAGTTGACTATTCTTACTCATATCTAATTCTTTTTTTCCATTCTTCTTTTTATCTCTATTTTTTTCCTTTCTTTATCTTCTTATCTTATTTCCCTTTCTGCTTTCTTCTCTCTTTTGTTTTCTTATTCATTTAAAAGAAACAAAAAACATTTTAACCCCATTTTTTTTCATTCTCTTCTTCATCTTGATTCCTTTTTATTCCATATAGAAAAAAAATTGTCTTCTAATTGCTCATTCTTTTTTTTTTCTTTTTCTCGTTTTTTTTTTTTTTTACTTCTTCTCGTTTTTTTTTTTTTACTTCTTCCTCTTAGTTCATTTTGTTCAAAGTAAAAAAAAATTTTCGGGTGTTTTTTTTTTCCTCAAAATATTTATTTATTTTTTTTCCCTGATTTTTTTTTTCATTGCTTACTTCTGGTTCCTCCTGCTTACGTGTTCTCCCATTCTTGCTTTCAGCCGGAGAAAGCCATTGAGGTGTACGAGTCGGCCCTCAAGAAGAACCCGAAGGACGCGGCCCTGGCCACAAAGATTGGCCAAGCTCTGGTCAAGACACACAATTATGGCAAGGTTAGAGACGAAGGGACATAGCCCCTGACAAGTGTTGAAGTCAAAGCAGCCTGCCTCCCAAGTGATATAAATAATGTTGATTGGAGCGGGAAGGGGTAGAGGGAGGGTTGGGGGTTGCTGTTGTTGTTGTTTTCAAATACCTTTAGCTGCGAGCGTTTCGCTCTTGGCAACACAATGCCTCCCTCAAGTAACCACATGTCCTTGTCATCTGGTCAACGCCAGAGTAGAGCAGGCTTTGTAAATCTATAGGTGTGTTTAGGAGCCTGCTTCGAAGAACTGCCAGGTTTGGGCAGTGAAAGAGAAGATGTTCAACGGTCACCTCGTGGTAGTCTCAGGGTTGGGGTTAAAACGATTCATTTTTATCTCGAATTTACAATCATGCCTTATCTATTAGCTCTTTGTACTCTGTAGGTTATTTCCAGATTTACACGCTGCCAATTTTTTCATCCAAATTTTCGCTTTAAAAATTTCCTTATTACTTCTCTCCTGTTGAGCCCATTTGCATAAAATAGACACTCGACTGAGCATTATTGAATGCTCCATTTAGCAATAAGTATAAAGGTCAGTTGTGAGGTGTGCTGACAAAATGAGTAACCTCTAGAACTCCAGATATTGAGTTATCTGCCAAAAATCAATGACATAGGAGTGAAGTTTGTAGATTTTCAACTGATGACATTTTTTCAAGTTTAACACGTTTAACTTATTTCATATTTATAAATTGTACTCACTCAATCTATAGATTAGATATTCTTTGCCCAATAGGTGCCTCACAGTTATAGATGTGGGTGGCTGGCGGTTGCTCTGGTGTGGTTTGCTCCTTCTTTCCTATCAAACAGTTATCATCCTTATCTTTCCTCCTTTTTGTTTGTTTCTCTCTTGTAACCCCGCTAAGATCTTTGGCAGTTTTATGACTTAATTGTGTTGGAAGTGCCGTAAAACGCTTATTAAAACAATTATAGATGACCTGGATTGACTGGAGTTTTAAACTGAATGATGCTGTTAGCCAGTTGAACTAGCACACCAGGTAAATGGTACTTACAACTGGTCTGCTGAACTGGGCAGTCATGTTCTAAGAGTTAAATGTGAGGCATCGTGGTGAAATCAGCTGTTTGTTAAAATAATGAAATTGAAGAAACTGTCATTTTTCAACCAGTTTGGCAATTTTTATTGGAATTTTGTTTTTTGGCTTAACATCTTTTATGTCCATTTAAAAACATATTTCTGTGTGGGTTTTATAGAAAAATGTTGATTACAGGCATAAAAATAGTAAATTTTCAGTTTCGAAGGATTCTCAAACTATGGAAATCACCAAGTAAATTGAAAGCAAGACAAATGAACAAGCTCTAATGATGATACCAATAACTTCACATACCCGAAAAGTGACGAGCGCCCGATTCCACCGCATTGTGACACAAATGGTCATGAGATATCCTGTTTATTTACCTGTGTGTTTGTCTGTCTGTCTGTCTGTCTGCCAGGCCATCAACTACTATGAGGCATCTCTCAAGTCAGGCGGCCAGGCTTCCCTCAGGTAAACAAGTCTACTGTTTATGGTGGATTTTTTTTGCTTTTGTTTTTGTTTTTGTTGTTGTTTGGTTTGTTTTGTAGCTTTGTTTTAGGTGGGTTTGGGGTTGTTTTTTTGGGGGGAGGTGGTGGTTTTTTGGGGGCCTTTTTATCACGCTTTAAAAAAAAATCAGGTTTTATTTTTTTGTTGCTGTTTTCTCTTTTATTTTACTGTTCATATTTTCTGGGGGGATTAAGGTGGAATCATTTTGAAAAAGTCGTTTAAGTATGAATGTTATCCATTTTTGTGTCTTTTTACCCTTTGTCTTTATGGGAGGGAGGTAGGAAGGATAGAGAGAAGAGAGAGAGACCTTGCTGTGTGTGAATGTGTATGTCTGTATGTGTATGCATGTATATTAATGTGTATGTGTGTATACTTGTTTGTGTGTATATTTATGTGTATGTGTATATATTTATGCTTATGTGGGTATGTATAAGTATGTGTGCGTGCATGGATATGAATATGTGTGGTATGTATGTGTGTGTCTGTACATGGATGTGTATTTATATGTATGTGTGAGTGTGTATGTGTATGCATGTGTATATTTATACGTTTGTGTGTGGCTATATGGGTATGTGTGCGTGTGTGTGTGTGTGTGTGTGTGTGTGTGCGTACATGCATGTGTGTGTGTCTGTATGTGTGTATAAATGAGTGTGTGTATATAATGTGTGTGCGCATATGTGCCCGCGATCATGTCTTTGCATCCGCCTGTGTGCCCCCATGTGTATATATAGGTCTGTGTGTGTGTGTGTGTGTGTGTGTGTGTGTGTGTGTCTGTGTCTGTGTGTGTGTGTCTGTGTACACGAGTGTGTTTTGACTACCACACGTGTGAAGATTTCCCCTGTCCCTGTAGGTACGACCTGGCAGAGCTGCTCCTCAAGCTGCGGCAATACGACAAAGCCGAGAAAGTTTTGAGGCAAGCGTTGGAACAGGATGGGCAAGGTAGGCACCCTCTGTCACACAGTCATATGGTCACACCGTCAAATGATCATATAGTCCTCATAGCCATAGATAAAAAGCAGTATTTTAATTTTTTCTTCTCTTTTTCTCTCTTCTACTCATTTTCTTCATGGGAATGAATAAAAAGCAGTATTTTATTGTTTTTTATCCTCTTTTTCTTTCTTTTACTCGTTTTCCTCAGCGCAATGAATAAAAGCTGTATTTTTTTTTTTTATCCTCTCTTCCTTTCTTTTAATCATTTTCTCAGGGGAATAAATTTCTTTCAATCATGGGATACATTTTTTAAAAGAGAAAAAAAAACAACCCTAGTACGTTGTATTTCATTTTTTCTTGTTTTTTTTCTTTTAATCATCTTCCTCACTTATGAATGAATAAAAGCAATATTTTATTCTCTACTTCTCTCCCCCCCTCGCCCCCCCCCCCTTCTTTTCTCCCCCCACTTCACTGGTGTGTCAGACCTGGAGACCCTGATGGAGCACACGCGTTACCTTCTGCTGCTGTCCCAGGTCTACTCCCGCGTAGACAAGCTGGAGGACTCGCAGAACACGCTTCAGCGCGCCAGGGAGATGCAGGCCAAGTAGGTCACCGCAAAACAGTCATATTTGTTCACGCGGTTTATTCTTTTCTTTCCCTCTGTTGTTTCTGAGTCTTCTTCTTCTTCTCGATCGCATCACACTTGAAGTCTGGTATCTGTCATTAATTGGGCCGTCCTGCTCAGTTCATCTGTCTTGTTTCTGAGTGAATTGTAGGCAAAGTAGGTCATCGTAAAACTGTCGTGTTTGTTTCACGTGTTTTAGTATGCCCCTCTACTTTGTTTCTTTCCCTCTGTTGTTTCTGAGTGAAATGCAGGCTTGCCAGCTTAACGAAAAATTGTCATACATTTGTTTCAGGTGTATTATTATGGCCCTCTACTTCTTTTCTTCTTTTCTTTCCCTCTGTTGTTTTTGTGTGGAGGGTTGGAGAATGTCTCTGGGACACTGGTAGGTCCGACTTTGTTTCTTTCAGTTGTTTCTGAGTGAAATGTAGGCCACGCAAGGTAATGCAGAACTGTCGTATTGTTATACATGTTTTATTATGACCCTCTATTTTTCTTCTTCTTTTCTTTCCCTCTGTTGTTTTTGTGTGGATGGTTGGGGACTGTCACGAGGACATTGGTAGTAGTGCTGGGCGGCGAGGTTCCCGATTGTTGAGGGCTAGGAATCGTAGGAATCGACTCCCTACCCAATTACTTACTTTCTAACGATATGACTTCTTTCAGTGGTTACCTAAATGGCTCCGGACATCTTCAAAATTTAGAATAAAATTGATTTCGGAACACTACAAAGCCTCAACTTGTTTTGTTTTTTTTCAAAAATAAATTCGAAAAAAGAGGATTTAAATGATTAAAATTATTGGTAGCCGTTGGTTTTCGTAAAACGAAGTCGGAACTTTTCTTCCTTAGTATTAATCTTGGGAATCGGTTCCGGACTCGATTCTTCGCCCGGCTCTAATTGGTAGGCCCTGCTTTGTTTCTTTCTGTTTTTTCTGAATGAAATGCAGGCCAAGTAAGTCACCGCAGAACGGTCATATTTGTTTCAGGTGTATTATTATGCCCTCTACTTCTTTTCTTCTTTTGTCTTTTTCTGTTGTTTTATTGTCTTTGTGGATGGTTGGAGAGTGTCACTGAGACGCTGTAGGTCCTTCTTTGTGTGTTACTTTCTGTTGTTTTTGAGTGAGATGTAGCCAAGAAGGTCACTGCAAAACTATTGTATTTGTTCCGTGTTTTATTGTGGCCCTGCTTCTGTTCCCTTCTTTCCCTCTGTTATTTTTTTCTTTGTGGGTGGTTGGATGGTTTTGCTGCTGGTAGGTCCTGCTTATTTTCTTTCCCTCCGTTGTTTCCGAGTGAGATCCAGGCCAAGAAGGTGGGTGGTTGGCAGGGGCTCTGCAGTTGTCTGCTCCTTCTTTTCTTGCCAACGTCTAGATTCTATTGTCCTTATCTCTCCTCATTCTTTTCTGTTTGTTACTTTCTTGTTACACCTCTTAATCTTTTGGCATTTGTGTGACATAAAACGCTAACTAAAACAAATGTGTTAATGCATTTTGTTTTATCTGTTTGTTTGTCTTTCTCAGAGTGCTGAAAAGAGTTCAAGTGGAACAGCCTGATGCAGTGCATGATCAGAAGGAGTTGGCCGCAAAGTGAGGCTGTCTTCTGAATGTTGATTGTTGTAATAGTAGTCATGATGATGATATTGGTCAGAATGATAAAAATGATAATAAAGATAGTCATTAGAATTGCAAGAGCAGTTGGATTACTGGATCCAGAGTTAGAATCATAGCAGGCGGCACATGTCCATAGCTGCTCATCTCTCCTTTCCAGTGTCCACCCCAGGGTCTTCCTGCTAATAATTGTCTCCATGAGGAGCTGGTTTGAGACACTCCTGACCACTCCTCGGAGCAAACTTTTTTTCCCTGTGCCCCGCACACACTTTTCTTTTATTGTGCTGAGTGTGTGGGAGTCTGTCTTCTCTTGATCGTGAAGGTTCTTCTTGCATCTGGCGATCACCATTGGTGGGTCGAGCATGATTCGGCCATTGGGTGCTGCTTTGCCGTTATGAAAATATAACCATCAGTAGTCATATTATAATGGTAATAATAATAGTAATAATGGTTGTAATAATAATGATAATAATAATAATAATAATAATAGTAATAATAATAATAATAATAATAGAAATTTAATGCTATGATGATAGTTATGATTATGGTGATTATAAGAAATAATTAGGATTGTGGTGATAATACAGTTATTACTGTAATTATGGTGATAAGGATTATGATAATAAGTTACTATGCTCACAAAAATGATGATGATGATTATGACCTACTTATTATGTTCCTTTTCCTGAAAAAGTCCTGCAGACGAAATGTTGAACATCTTTTTTGTCAATGTAAATTTGACAACATTTTGCCCAAGTCTCCGCTTCCTTTTATAGTCTTTTGCAATCATCATCATCATCAGTGCCTTTCACCCCTTTTACAATAATGATGGTGATTTTGTTTGATCATGATAATAATAATGATGATGATGATAGAGGCCCATTTCCCTGCTATTTTACAGCGCCCATTTACTTTTTCTCTCAGTTGCTCCTGAGGCGAAACGTTGAGCTGTGTCTATTATACAAAATTTAAACATGTTATATTTTCATGTTATTTTGTTTGAAAATCAAACAAGACTCTCCCTCCTACTCTGCTTTCCTAACAATAATGATGATGGTGATGATGATGATGATGATGATGATGATGATGATGATGATGATGATGATGATGTTACAGGATCTGTAGCCAACTGGCTGAGCATGCCACCAACCAGAGGGACACGGAGACAGCCATTAAGTTCTACAAAGACGCTCTAGTCTACTCAGAGAATGATAGTAAGGTAAGCAGTTACATCAGTATTTACATGTTTCGGAAGGAAATTAACCCTGTCAAACCTTACGCTCTGAACCGAACTTCCCTCAATACCTGTCCTCCTGAGCAAAAGTGCGCAGAAAGTGGTTAATACAGGAAAACAAGTTATCAGAAACACATGAAACTTGGTAGAATACAGATAAGAGGCCTACTTTTGAGCTAACGCCAATACTCGGATAGGTTTTCAAGCGCTACTCGTGTGGTAAACAGTTTAGAAATATGACGCGACCTCCCAATTATCGGTGTACTGGGAATCCGGCATAGTTGAAGTTTGGAGTATTCCCGGTCTGACAGGGTTAAAATGGGGCTCTAATCTAATTCAAGATTGTGAGTAAGGTGTGTTGTTTTGCCACTTTTCACATTTTTTTTTGTGTAGAAGTTTATCGCCAACTTCTACAACGAAAATGCCACCCCCACTTTCACCAACCCCTCTATCCCCCCCACCACCCCCCTTAATGGGTGGGTGGCAGGTGGCCTAGTGTGGTTTGCTCCTTCTTTCCTATTGAACATTTATCATCCTTATCTCTCCTCCTTCTTTCTACTTTTTTTTTCTCACTAGCAACACCTCTGATCTTCGTCACTTATATGACCTTATTGTATTGCAAGTGCCGTTAAAACTCTTATTAGAACGAAAACTAAACCTCCTCTTTCTCCCCCTCCCCCTGCTGTTCTCACGTGTATATAATTAATGTATGGTCAAGAAAGGTCGGCTTTATGGGATTAAACTGGATTTCCTGTTAATGTGAAATGTTTTTCTCTTGTGTGGATGAAGTATTATGCTCAGTGATCATGTCATCGCTGTAAAACGTTCAGGGGTTATACTCGTACGGAATTCTTCTTCTTCTTCAGGTGTCAGATCTGGAGCAGACTTTAACGATCATAATTCCCCATTTCTTCCTGTTGTCTGTCTTCCTGGTCAGCTCAATTTTTCTCTTTGTGTCATTCATTGCAAAGCTGCTCAGGCTATTTGTGTATGTTGTTCTTTGTTGTCTTTCTCTACTCTTATTTTCCTCTGTCTTTCCATGCTGCTGCAGATTCTTGAGTTGATTTGGTCTAATTATGTGGCCAAGAATCTCAATTGTATGGGATAGAGTGCTACATAAATGCAACTTATTAATAATCTAGGATTCGGGTTTTCTTGAACAAGTGCGTAAGAAAGTTACTGAGGATCAGATGGACAAAAACAGTTACCAACAAGGAAGTGTTAAGGAAAACAAGACGGATCCCAGTCAGAGATGAGGTAGGAAGAAGGCAGTGGCGATGGATTGGACATACTCTCTAGAAGTCAGGCAGCTACATAACAAAGAAAGAGTTGGATTGGAATCCGCAGTGTTAAAGATCAAGGGGAAGACCGTGTGGAACCTGGAGAAGAATCACCGAAATTGATGTACATAAAAGTGAGAAGACATTGAATAACATCGAGAGGCTAGCACGGAATAGAGAAAGATGGAAAGTGTTTGTCCGAGGCCTATACCCTTGTGCAGGGTGAGAAAGGCAATTATTGATGAGGATAATTAATAATCTATTGTTTTCTCTCCCCCCTCAACCCACCTGTCACAGAGAATGCTGGACCTGGCGGGTCTGTACCTGATGACGGAGGACCTGGATGGCTGCCAGCACCAGCTCATGACCTTGCTGAAAAACGACAGCGACAACGACAATGCCACCATCGTGAGTAGCACATTCCATCACCGCCACCCACTGTGCAATGGCATCATTTTTATAATAGTGTTTGTATTGTTGTAATACAAAAATTGTTTGTTTGGTATTCTTTGTATGTATAATTGTGTGCTTAAATATGTATTTATGTAGGCATGTTTGTCATTGTAGCTGATTTGTCCCCTTGGGGATCAATGAAGTTTACTTTATCTATTTGTTTATCGATTGATTGAATGATTGATTGATTGATTGATTGATTGATTGATTTGTTTATTTATTTATTTTATTTATTGTTAAAATTTTATTTATTTATTTATTTATTTATTTATTTATTTAGTGTTTATTTTTAAATTTATTTACTTTTATCTATTTATTATTCATTCATTCATTCATTCATTTGTTCGTTTGTTCATGTATTTATGTATTTATCTATTCATGTATGTATTTATTCATCTATTTATTTATCTATATATTTAATTGTTTGCTATGACACTGTTTATCCCAGATGCTGGCGGACTTGATGTTCAGAAGAAATGAGTATGACTCTGCCATGTACCATTTCCAGCAGCTGCTGCAGTCTAAGCCAGGTCAGTTCATTCAACATTGATTGATTGATTGATTGACTGATTGATTGATTGATTGATTGATTGATTGATTGTTGATTGGTTATTTATTTATTCAGTCCTTCAATTTTTTAATTAAAAGATTATTTTTAAAAGTTTGTATGTGTTTTCAAGTCCCCTATCAATACAATTTCGATTATTTAATTAAATATTTTTTTAAAAGCTAGAGATGTTTTTACACCCCGATCGACACATTTAGATCATTTAGAAGGTGGGCTGCTTACCTTGCCTGTCAGGGCCAACCGCCGCTGAGAAAGATACAACATCCGCACAGAAAGACTGAGATTCTAGAAAAAAATTTCTCCCCATTTGGGAATTAAACTCGGGTCTTCTGCGTATTACCCCTGAAACCAGGTGACATCCACCTCCTTCAATAGCAAATATCCCGGACTTCTTTTCAAGATAGATGGGTATTTTATTCATCAAAAGCAAGAAAAATGAACAAGCTTTAAGATGTCAATAACTATACATGCGCAAAAATTGTCGATCGTCAGACTCCACCGCGCCATGAAACATTTTTTTTTTTTTCTCGGTTGTCAGACAACTACGAGGCCCTGGCTCGACTAGTGGACCTGATGCGTCGTGCCGGCAAGCTGGAGGAAGTGCCCAAGTTTCTGGAGACGGCCCAGAACGCCTCGAGTCGAGCTCCGGTAGAGGCTGGCTTCTGCTACTGCAAGGGCTTGTATGAATGGTAGGTTTATTCTCACCTTTGTTTGTTTGTTTTATTTGTTTTGTTTGTGTAAACCGAAGACTTAAAATACATAGCTGCCAGCCAGTACTTGAAAAGTACATTTGTTAGGCAGCTTAGTGAAATCAGGCGCTCGTCATAATAATGAAAGTAAAGAAACTGACATTTTTCCGCAGGTTTTGGAAATTTATGGAATCTTTGGTTTTTGACTCAACACCTTTTATGCCCTTTTCAGTGTGGATTTTGCTGAAAAACATTGATTAAATGCATAAAAGATGTAAATTTTCGGTTTCCACAGGCTCTCAAGCTTAGGAAATAACTAAACTTTGGCAGCCATTTTCTCACTAATTTTGCCTCTGAAGCCAGGCGACCCCACCTCCTTTAATCGCAAATATCTCGACTTGCATGCAAGATAAATGGGTATTGTTTTCCATAAAAGCAAGGCAAATGGACAGGCTTTAAGATGGTACCAATGACTCCATATGCCAAAAATTGACGAGCGCCTGATTCTACCGCGTCGGGATACATTTAATTATGAACTTTCAAGACCAGATTTGCAACTGATAATGGGAAGTAAGCCCATAAGTCTGTTGGAGAGACGTTTTGCTGCAGTTCTGCTTTGAATGGCCTGAATATATTGAACGCAGAAAAATGTGTACGGATTGTTTGGTGGGGGCTATTACTTGGCCAATGGTCTCCATCCTGACCTACCGCATTTGTAGAGTCTGTCTTTTACTTTTAGGTTTTGAAAAGTTGCCGGATTTCCTGTGGAGCACACCATTTATTGTGATATTTTTTTTCATTGAAAGCAAGACAAATGAACAAGATTTACGATGAAACCAATAACTCCACATGCCCAAAAATTGACGAGCGCCGGATTCCACCGCCGTTACACGTTTTACTCTATTTGAAGCCAGTTGAAGGGCGAGGAGAGAAGGGCTGCGCAAACACCAGACTAAAGCGAGACTGGTGTTGTGCCCCTTTATTTGGGCACCGGTGGTGAGCTCCAGTTCGAGGAAGCTTTTATAAAGAGCAAAGAGCAGCGGCCATGACAGTGCCCTGGTCTAGGATAGGATTCAAGTCAATGGTTTAAAGATAAACGCTTGGAAATGATAAGGATCATTAATTAAGTGCCTTCTTTTGTTCACGATTGTTCATGTTTGTTTCTTTACCTGAGCAAAAAGAAGCACATCGACATTGTAATTGTCATTTTGTGTTTGAGTGAAGTGGGTTTTTATTTTAATGGCAGCTTATTTGTAAATAAATAAATCTTCTTTTCACTTCCTCAGTGGACGGTTGGTGGGTGCTCTGGTGTGGTTTGCTCTTTCTTTCCTATCAAACATCTATCGTCCTTATCTCTCCTCCTTTTTTGTGTATGTTACTCTCTTGTTACGCATCTGTTCTTCTGCATTTATATGTCCTTATTGTGTTGCAAGTGCAGTAAAACGCTTAGGCCTACTAAAACTAAACTCACTTCCTCAACCCCAACCCCTCCGTCTTGCACTCCCCCCCTCAATTCCTCAAATTTTTTCCTTCCCTCTCGCCCCTCCTTCTCCTCCCAGGTATTCTGGCAACCCGACAGAGGCCCTGAAACATTTCAACAAAGCCCGCAAGGACTCGGACTGGGGCAGCAATGCCATCTACAACATGATTGAGATCTGTTTGAACCCGGACAATGAGACCATTGGTGGAGAGGTCTTTGATACAGTGGAGGGGGAGGGAGGAAGGTAAGGAGAGAGATAGGAGGAGAGAGGGAAGAGAGAAAGAGAAAGAGAACGGAGAGAGAGAGAGAGAGAGAGAGAGAAAGAGAAAGGAGAGAGAGAGAGAGAGAGAGAGAGA